TATGGGTAGTGAGTAGTAATGCTCGTGCTACCTCAAAATGTGTATTTTTGCGTTCGGAAACCCCATTTTGTTAAGGGGTGTCAACACATGAACTGTGATGAATTATCACATTTTCTTGAAGGAAAGGACCCAACATGTGGTTGAAATATTCTAGTCCGTACGCAAGATTTGAATCTTGGTGTGAAATTGTGTTTGGATCATGGCATAAAAGTTGATAAAAACTGAACGAACTTCAGATTTGTCTTTTAACAAGTAGACCCAACAAATACGAGTGTGATCATTAATAAATGTCACGAACCATTTTGTGTGAGTGCGATTAGGGATCCGGGAAGGTCCCCATACATCACTATGAATGATTATGAAAGGTTTTGTGGGTTTGTAGTTGGATTTTGGGAATGAAGTTCTTTGCGAGTTCACACACTTCACATTGAACCTCAAGAGACCTTTTATTCGAACATAGCGAAGGAAATAAACGACACGTGTACTAAGGCCAAGTTTGGCAACTCTTAAAAAATCTAAAAAGTCAAAAAGTCACTATCCTATTTAAATCACATCATCTTATTTAAGTCACATCACCTCTCTAACACATCACTTCAAACCCAACCCAAACCCAACCCATATTTCATAAAAAGTCAAAAAGTGCACTTATTTAGTCTTCCCAAACTTGGCCTAAAAATTGGGGTGACCCAACCAAGAATGCCATAACATTAGCTCACTATTCTTAGGGATAGAGACAGAATTACAAATAACACTTTGACACTGATCACGCATTTTAGCTTCCTCAAAATAGTAAATTCCCCCATACTCCTTAGCATTGCCAATCGTCATCCCTGATGACAGGTCCTGAAAGAGACAATGGGATAAAACAAATTTAGCAAAGCAATTGGAGTGTTTAGTGAGTTGGCTGACAGACAAAAGATTACAGGATAATTTTGGAACATGAAGAACAGATTCTAAAGTAATCGAGTCAGAAATCCGAATACTCCCTTTGCCAATGCCGGCAACAAGAGCAAGAGATCCATCAGTAATTTTGACTCTTAGATTACCAGCACATGGGATATATGATGAGAACAAATGATAAGAGTCTGTCATATGATCAGAGGCTCCAGAATCTATAATCCAAGGTGTATGATTACGAAAGGTGTAGAAGGCTTGTGGGAAGTTACCTTTGTGTGCCAAATTACCAAATGGAGTATTTTTTGGTGGCTGACCCAAGGCTTGGAGAGCAACTAGCATCTCCATGATTTTCTTTAGTCGATCGTGGCTTGAGGTGCTGCTGCTACTGCTGCTGCCACTGTCAGAATGGTTGCTCTCCACTTGTTGCCTCTCGGGTTGAGGCTCATAACAGGCTTGATAGCCTCTGGCTTTGGTGCTCTGTCGTGGTTTCCAATTAGCTGGCTTGCCATGAACCTCCCAACAATTATCCTTGGAATGGCCAGGCTTTCGACAATGTTCACACCAAGGGCGTCCCTTTTGTTGCTTGGTATTTGGCCCACTGTAGGTCCCTCAGGATACAAGTGCAGAGCCCTCTGGTACCGTGGCTGTCACTTCCTTCAACATGACTTTGCGCCTCGCCTATTCATGCCTTACTTCAGCGAACACTTCTCGAGCGGATGGTAAAGGTCGGCGACTGAGAATCCTTCCTCGTACATCATCTAAATCTCGATTAAGGCCTGCAAGGAACTCAAAAACTCTTTCCTTTTCCTGTCTCTTCTTGAACAGTACACTCTCCTCAGAACAGCGCCATTCTTCTTCGCTGCTTAAATCTAGCTCTTGCCATGGAGCTAGCATCTCCATGTAATAGTCTGTCACCTCCCTTTCGCCTAGTTTCATCTACCATAGGCATGTCTTAATTTCAAAGACTTAGAAGGCATTTTCCTCATCAAAGTAGGTTTCTCAGACTGCATCCCACAAATCTTTTGTTGTGGGTAGAAACATATATGTTTTCCCGATAGTTGACTTCACGGAGTTGATAAGCCATGAGGTAATCAATGAATTCTCTAATCTCCATCGCTGGAGTGCCACAGCATCCGTCGATTCAGGTTTCTGTGAGTCGCTGATAAGATACCCAAGCTTTCCTCTACCGTCGACTGCAAGTTTCACGGACTGTGCCCATTCTCAGAAGTTCTTCCCGTTGAGTTTTTCTGCCGATTGTTGGACAGAAGAGCCCTCTTAGTCCATTCAAACTGATGATGGAATTGGTTCGACTCGTTTAAGTCTTTGAGGTTTTCGACCCTCGACTATTGATGGAGTTGTCCCCCATAGTTAGCTTGGTTTAGGAAAAAACCAGCTCTGATACCATGAAAGCTGTGAGGAAACTGCTTTTATATTTTTAATACAATACAATTAAACTGTACAATATGCCCTATTATATAACCTGTATCTAGCAGCTAACTTAAGGAAATACAATCCTATGATAAAGGAATATACAAGAATCATGGCAATCCCTATTGACCAGCACCACCCTTCTCTATATACCTAAAAATAAAATAGGACTGTCAATAATCATTCCTTAATTATAGGGATTAGATATGACTCCTAAACTGTAGGGATTTCTACAAGACCTTTACTCCTATTGCCAAGATGATTATTGTTCGTATTTTGATTTCGGTCGCTGTTGTTCGTTCTTAGCCTCTTTTATCAGATGGATGCTAAGAATGCTTTTCTTAATGGCCATCTCGCAGAGGAGGTTTACATACATCCTCCCCCTAGCCGTCACCATTCCCCTCGACAGGTTTGTCGCTTTCAGCATGCTCTATATGGTCTGAAGCAGTCTCCTCGTGCTTAGTATGATCACTTTCAGACTGCTGTCACTGCACTTGGGTTTCATCCTTGTGCTCAAGACTCTGCTTTATTTCTTCTGCACACATTTGCTGGATTTGCTGCCTTACTACTGTATGTGGATGATATGATCATCACTGGCTCTGACTCTTCTGCTATCTTTGAGGTCAAACAATATCTTTTTCGCACCTTTGAAATGAAGGATCTAGGCCCCTTACAGCATTTTCTTGGTATTGAGGTAGCTTCTTCTCCCAATGGCTATTTTTTGTCTCAAGCCAAGTATGCCAATGAGGTTATTCATCGTGATAATCTTACTGACACTAAGTTTTCCGATACCTTCATTGAGCTTAATGTTAAGCTCACCACTACTGATGGTGTTCTTCTAGAAGATCCTACTTTATATCAAGAGCTCGTGGATTGCTTAGTCTATCTGACAGTTATTCGCCCTGATCTTGCCTATGTTGTTCATGTGATTAGTCAGTTCGTTCCTGCTCCTCGTTCTACACATTGGGCTTCTTTGGTTCAGATTCTTCGCTATCTCCGGGGTACTATGGCCTTGTTTGGTTTGTATTTGAGAAACATGTTTTGAGATAAAAAGTACGAAAATTTGTTTGGTTTGGTTTTTTTTAAAAGATGTTTTGAAAAATTATTTTGAGAGAGTAGAATTTACCTACACCTACCACCACCTACTACCACACCTACTACACCTACCACCAATTTACCCTCACCTACTCCTCACCTACTACCCAAACCCTCTCCTATATAATGAGCCACTCTGATTTGTAATATAACACATCAATATATATCAATCAATAAATCAATCATCAATACATATATTTTTACACTTTTGAAAACTTATTTGTGGAGAATTTTTCCCAAAATTTTTTGAGAAACACAAACCAAACAAGGCCTATATTTTAAGGTTTACTATTGTCTTCTACTTTCTCTTTGAACTTGGTGGCTTATGCTGATTCTAATTTGACTGGTGATGTCACTGATCGCAAGTCCACTTCTGACTTCTGCATATTGTTTAGTGATTCCTTGATTTCTTAGAAGAGCAAGAAACAGACTGTTGTTGCGCGTTCCACTGTCGAGGCTAAGCATCGTGCTATGGCTCATATTACTGCTAAGATTATTTAGCTTCGTTATCTCGTTCGTGACTGATTTGGGTGTCCCTCAGTCTTCTTCGACCTCCCTTTACTTTGAGAACTGCAATGATATTCAGATTGCACATAACACTATCTTTTATGAGTGGACGAAACACATTGGGATTGATTGTCATTTTGTATGTCAGCATCTACAGTCTGGCTCTATCTCGCTTCCTTTCGTCTCGTCGACATTGCAACTCGTTGATTTCTTTACAAAAACGCACACTACTGCTCGCTTTAAGATTCTTCTTGGCAAACTCTCAATGTTTTCTGCTAAACCACCTTGAGTTTGAGCAGAGGGTGTGAGAATATATGTTAATTATGGAAATATAATTTAGATTGATTGTGTGATTTTGTAAATATTAAATTGATTGTATAGGGATACTATTTCCTATTTCAGATTAGGTTTAGGTTTGCTATATATATCGGTTGTAATCTACATATTATAGACAAATGAATATATAAAAAAAAAAAAATTCAAAAACCTTCCAGTGTCCTACATGTTTTGGAAGTCTATGTTTCCAGGGCCAGAAGCAAGATTTCCATAGAGGGGTCGAACATATATACTAACAAAAAATCCACACACAAAAAAAGAAAAGAAAAGAAAAGGAAAAAGTATGGCCTACAACATTAATTTCTACAAACATAAAAATAATAATATGAAAAATATAAATAAATGTTTTTGTTTATCCATGTTGAGTTGGAAAAGATATCAACTGAAAGAAAATTTATTGACTCCAAACAATATTTTTCTCAATAAATGTAATCAACCAACTTTGTGACGACTCCTCTTTCTCTTCTCTGTAGGTTAGGACTTAAAATCGACGTTAGTTATGAGAAATTAATTTATTTTATTATATTTTGTACAAAATTTAATTTCACTTTGACCTCCGCAATTCATGAATATAGATGGGCAACCATTTAAATTTTTGAAAATCCAGATGAACAAGCCACTATACAATGAATCCACTATTCACAAAAAGGGGGTGAAAGACCAACTCAAATCAGGATGCATTATGGGATATGCGATTGCGAGGAATACATTTTTTCCCCAAACATGTATCAATTCACCTTGTGAGTATCACTTGTAGAATCAAAACCGCTGACTGTGCCCAAATGGTAGCTGAAAAGTAGAAGAATATCCACCATGTCATATAAAAAGACTGCAAATATTTTTCTAGAATAAAGTATTTACAACTGCAGATTCTCACCATTTATCAACTGGGGACCATAATTTTATCCGCTGCCCAACACACACTTGACTGTTATTCCCAACATCCTATGAAATTCAAAGTTACGGTAACTTTAGAAATGAATGCGATGCAGGATAACCCTCACACGAGACACAATACAGACATACCTTTAAGCCGCAAAAACCAGCCACTCTTTTAATCTTGGAAGTTTCAGCACCAACACTGTCAGATTTTGTTACCACACCATTAACTATCAAAGAACTTTTCAAAGCTTCCTTCTCAGTCAGTGAAGGTTTTGTAGTCACAGAATCACAAGAAGATGGAAGATGCCCTCTTCCAATAAGTGGTTCAGAGTTTCCAGATGCACCCTTTTCATGCTCATCATAAATAGAGAACTCATTATGTAATTCAACTGATCCAGGAGGAGATGGAGAAAGGGCTCTTTTATGTCTTCCTCTAGGGTTGATTTCCTGGTTCAAAGTTTCATGGGTCTTTTTTTCACAAGCAAATGAACTCTCACTACGTTCTCTTGTCCCATTCACAAGCAAATCATTGTTCTTGCACAATACCAAGTTCGCCGTGCTGCACTTCATAAAGTCTGACTGTGAAACATCCTCTTGGCTTTTTCGGCCACGTTTAACGAGTGTACTGGCAGGCTGACACATGCACAGGAAGATCATTTGGACAATAATTTGAAGCATGTCAGTCCACCAGGAAATAAAAATAAAAAATATAAATATTGAAAAAAAAAAGAAAGAGAAGATAAAGAAAAATATAATGATGACTACAAGAAACCCACACGAGAGATCTGAGATTCAAAACTAGGAACCACTCTATTAGCAAGTTTTGCATTAAAAGGACACCAAGCTTGACAAATTGAATTAGCCTGTAAACAACCAAAAATAAAACTCAATTTAGAATGATTCAAACAATTAAATGATTAGCATACAGTCAACAGTTAATATGAACTTTAAAGCTTACCTCATCTCTTTTTTCTGCAGGACTAATTCTGTATAATGATGATGGCAACAAAATCAAACCCAGGGTATGTGATGCTGTGATGGCACTATGATTCAATGCATTTAAGATGGAAATTCCAAAGTCTGCTAAAATATGCAATTTCTGCAATATAAAAACCCTATTGCTGTATTAATATATATTTAAAACATGCCTGGGAACAAGAAATATCCCTTTAAAAGAGAACAGCAAAAGTTACAGGAGTTGTGTGAGCATCAACAGCATCCTCAGCCCTCTTAATAGCCAAAAATATACTCTGAAGGCATAAGACAGCAGCATTGACAACATCCATGTCACCATCAACAAAACTAGCATTGACAAAAGCTTGCAAGGTGAAAACAAGAGGACTGCAAAAAGAAAAAATATACATTCCAAACAATATTACTATAATAGTCATTTACATTCATATTTACTATTGCTTTTCTGTTATAAATATGTCTACCTGAAAAACTGAGCATAAATTTCCTCATCGCCACAATTTTCAGGTGGGAAACCTGAATCGTGAGCAAGAACATGGATCAAGAACACAACAATGTAAGCAGGGTAATCAGGCAATCCTAGCTGCTTGCCAGAAGTTTGGCGTATTCGAGCATCTCTACTGTACTCCCTTACAAATTCTGCCATATATTTCAGTGACTAAAAATGAAGAGCAAGTCAGCAAATAACAAACATAGTTAAATATATGAATGTATGTTAAATTCATACTACATGCACGACCAGAACTCCCAGACCTACATCATCTCGCAGATCTTTTACGGAATCTGAGGCGGCAAATGCAAAAGCACATGCATATTTGGTAGGTACAGCATGCTGCTTCAAAAGCTTGTGTGTTTTGTCAATAAACAGTCTGCGTGCAAAAGTTGAAGAGTCCTGCCATGTGACAGAAGAAACAGACTAGTCAGGAAAAAATAGAAAATAAAAGAAAATGGTTGTTCATTAGAAAATGACTGTGGAGCAATTCAGACACAAGGACCAAACCTTGATCCAGCGAGTAAACTAATACAGAAGTAATGGATTTTAATGACAAAAATGACAGAAACTTCTGATTCATTTGATACATCAAGTGAAATTTTGGTTTGGTAGAACCACCAAATATTCATATTCAACCCACCATTTTACAATGTAATCATTCCAATGTTCTGATTTGTTTTCTTGAATGGGCCAGGTTTGTATGAAGGATCAGTAAAGCACTCAAAACAATGGCTTTATGTGATAATTGATAAACGAAATAATTCATTGGTGCAGTAGATATATAAAAACACACCTTAATTTCAAATCATGAATTAATATCAGTGGGACTCGGTACCAAATGTTTATTCCAGGCTGTATATTGGTTCCCAAACATTTCATTTATTTCATGATAGACAACACAGATCTCTACCGAACATAACATACCATTCACTCCTTTTAAATCAGAAATTCATATTAGTGCAGCTCACAAGATCATCCAATGCCACAGTGTGGTTCCTGAACATGCCATTCTATTTCCAAATGAATTTTGGGCCTTGAAACCTACAACCGGTTCTCTCTAGAAAAACTCTCCCTCTTCCACCATTGAGTGAAGCAACTCTAACACATTGACCTCAACCATTGCCAACGCCAAGTAAATGACACATGGTAGCCAAAAGATTGAGAGGGTCAACACAAGTACTAGTGGAGTGTAAAAAAAATACGATGGGAGTATACAAGAGCTCAAGCAAATAACCTAAGAATCCCTCACCAAAAAAGGTATCTTTCATTTCATCTCAACACAACAAAACCTTTTCTGGCTGCATAAATCCCGTGACAGATAGCTTTATCTAGAATCAAATCCTAAAACTTTTTTTTTTAAATGTAGAAAAACACAACAAAACAAGACGCCAGTCCTTACACCAGAAATCACACCAGGAGTCGATACAAATAAAGGACCGAAATATTTCTTAATCTCAATTTCCATAGAGAAAACTCTTATGTGCAAAAACTCAGAATCCTACATTTGTTACCCTGAGAAATGACATGTAACATAATGACGAGCAACGTAACATACACAAATCTCTAATAAAGTACATCACATAGGCAAAACCCCAAGACAAACCAAAGAATGTAAAAATAATATCACAGATAACGAAAGCAGCCAGACAGAACAGGAGGTGATCTACTGAATCTATTTCTGTCATACACATTGCTGAAAGTTTCTGATGAAAAGATAAACTGTATATTCAATTGTGCGTCTAATACAAAATATTAAATCAGTATTTATAACCTAGACTAACCTTAAAACAGAAAAGAAAATAAGCTTAATTCCTAGAATATTACACACAATATCTACAGAATATACATAATATATAGAGAATATCTCACAGTTGGGTAGTCAAGGCGGGACTGATATGGGCCCACAGTGGACCAGACTGGACCTTCTCCAGTCCGATGAAGGACTGGAGAGGAGCTGAACTATCACGGTTGAACCCAGCAAAAGATATATTTGAAAGCTTTAAAAAAAATCTTCTAAATAATAAAAATACTTTATAGCTATTTTAGATGCAGGCATGGTACCTTGGCCATCCAAATTGTAAAACGGAAGATCTCTGGTGGAATATACAAATCCCATCTTCTTGAAAGACGGAGAACAGATTTTGCAGCAGCTAGTCTTATGTTGGCCTTGTCAGATTCACTGCATGACAAAGAATTCATAGCCACAAAAGCATAGAATAGAACAAATTGTAGTTTAGTACTAACCAAGCAAGCTCACATGTACACCTAACCAAACTAATATATCATTAGTGCAGAACAAATTTACATCAATAAGAATTTTATTATATCTTCGGAACTATTCAATTAATGCCTCCCTCCCTATCTACTTCTTTTTCCCCTCTAAAAAACAAGAGAGGACCCCACTCCCCAAATAATTAGCTTTGTGTTTCACAACGCCATTGTTTGGTAGGTTCCAAAGTCACCCAGCTATGATGCACTCTCCAAGCCCACTCATCTCACCCCCAGTCTCCCTTGATATATCTACATAGTTTTGTTGACATGATCGACAGATTCACCAGCAAGTAGTTGCGCCTAGCTGAACATCCCCCAATCTTTGATATGGTGAATAACAACATGCAGCCAGCTTTTGTATTCATAACCTTTGTTAACTAATGGAGAATTCACTCCATACAATCAGGTATTATGGAACATGGTTTGCCACAGGTCTAATTTTGTATGAGGCATACTTGTGTTAATTCATACACCTAATCAATTGCAAAGTTCAACCTAAGTCTTAACCTAAACCAAGCATGCCATCTAGAAATGTTTTGAAACTTATGACAAACATAAAGGAACATTCAAAACAATATTTGGGCAGGCATGCCCACTTATTTAGGAATGGATTAAAATCCTACAGCTAAGGAAAAACTCCAAATATGTGCTAAGTAGCACTGAGAAACTCCTACATTCTAAATCTTAAATAAGTGCAAGAGATGGCTTCCCTTACACATTGATGAAGTCCTCACACTATGTAACACCAATTTCCACCAAACAACGATAAAAGTGAATACAGAAATGCCAGAAGCAGACAAACTAACATGGGAATTTGTTGCATTTTTTAGCTTCCACTTCTGACAATATTCAATTTTTACAGCAGAGCAAGCAGTTAAAAATGAGGTAAGCTAGTCAATACAAAGACAAAGGAGGGAGCTAAAAAATCAAAAGAAACTCAAGTAATTTTCCAGCAATATACATACATACACATGTAATGAATCTCCACGCGAATCCAAATCAAGGTGGCATTGGCAAATAATTCAATTTTCATTTCCTTATCTAAGTTTGCTGAAGATGCTAGTCCAAAACTACTAGGGATCCAGTTTGATATAGTAAAATGTACATGATAGCCATTATTAGATTCCTACGCATCTTAAAGTTGAATTATACATATAAACGATAAGATTTTAGGTTTTCCCCAATAACTGTTAACTCCACCAATAGTGCTGCTCCTCTAAACCATGGCTCCAATTCCAACACTCTGGAACCACCAAGGTTGATACGTTTATCACTCTGGCACCACCGTCACTAACAACTATTCAAATGTTAAAATCTTTAATCCTCTTCTCTATGATCTTCTTTTTTCTTTTATATATTCTTACTGTATTTTCCATGTAACATTTTAAGAAGATTCAAACTTAAATCTCTTTATTAAAGGAATGCAGAAAATTGTATATTATGAAATGCTAAGATGAAAAATAAATACACCAAAAAGTAAAGTTTATCTATCAGGAATATTAGGAAAGTTTATTACAACCCACATGACCTACTACAAATAGAAGGCAGTACAGGAGAGATTTCTGTAGACAACGTATTATCATTTATAATGTGTTATGTACCAGCATCAAAGAAAGGATTACTATTAATAAAATGATTTTTGTTTTTCAATCAAGAGCTCCAGGCCATTTTTGTCTCTCACCCAGACATCCCCTTTATCCTCGGTGTCCGTGACTGGTGCTTCCATTCTCCGGTGAACCCCTGACCACCGGTCAGAATTGCCAACAGTAACAACCTACTAGCTTTATTTTCTTCATTATGCACCAAGTTTTCATCTTATTGGCTGCAAGCCTTTTCTTAAAATGCAAAATAGTCTTGAGCATAAAGATTACCGATGTCATGATCCAGAGTGTAGAAGGCAAATGTTAACAGTGTCATGATCCAGTGTCCTATAAGTTCTATGCCTACGTATTTTCTTTCGCCCAAAGTTAAGCTTCTTTTAATGGGTTCTTGATGAAGAAAACATAAGGGAAAACAATGGCATTCCAAAACATGACCACAAGTCAATAGAAACTGAAAGCAAACAGTCAGGGCACACATTACCAAAAGACTGAAGCAAAAACTTGACAATTCTACTGCCAAGAAAATATGGGCTTAGTATTGTACAAAAGTTTACAAGCATGAATAAGGTACTAGGGTTCTTATTGAAAGTGAAGACTGAAATTCAGTAACCAGTAGTATATTGGTGACAGAAGGTAATATGTAGCTAGCTTGAAAAGTTAAAGCATTTCAATATCATCTATACTTTTATGAATCATACCATGAGATTATGCCATCAGAAATATAACCAGGCTGCAGCATTTGTGACAAAACATCCAACAATTGGTTAATATCACGGCTAACATGAGTTGGTCTATGAGGCAAAAAACTCTTGACAAGTGCTTTAAGGCCAAAGATCTGCAACAGAAATACAATTGAACTGAGAACCAAATCGATCAATATCAAAGACCAAAAAAAATTCAAAATGTTGCGTTTGTAATGCTTCCATTATTTTTAAGGTCAAACTTATTATTTAATGTTTCCTTCGTAGTATGTTAAGCATGATCCCAAAGTGGATATAATCCACCACAATAGCATCCTTGTAGGCAACAATCCTAAAAAACTTCAATGTCAATGCTAACCATTGGTGTTCTTGAATATGTATTGCACGTTAACTTGATATCAAGTATGACTTATCACAAGATACTGGAAATTAGAGGAAAGTTTTTGACATTTCACTTAATAGCACAAAGAATCATCTGGATGTTTAACACCATATAACAGCAAATCTAAATAAGTTATTTGTTCAAGAGGTGAATTTCCATTTGGGAGAAACCTACAGCAAATATATCCTTTTTCTGGGTTCTTCCAATTAGTTATATTAAAATTAGCTTTGCTTCTTCTTCTTCTTCTTCTTCTTCTTCTTCTTCTCCTCTTCTTTTTTTTTCTTTTTTTTTCCCTTTTTAAGTCCAAGGAGTTGTTTTAAATAAACCCCATGGCCATGCAATAAAAAACGATGTGGACTCTCGTGCGTCTTTGCAATCTTATAGACAATTTAAAGGAAATAAATGGAAAGGCTTTTGATAGGATGATCGCCTATAATGATTAAAAGACAAGCATTATTTTTTAATTGTGCACCAGCTAATCCATCTTCCAAAAGGTGTCATGAAACCCAGATTGCACAATGCCAAGTAAGCTGCAATCCATATTACTCTATCCCTTCTTTTTTTTCTTTTTTTTTTTCAGTTTGGCTCCTGTTTCATTAGTTTCCTCCAATAAACCATAAATTATATCTATTATTATATCTATCAAAAATGTCTGAATCCACCAAGGTCCCATCAAAACAAAATCACCACAAAGAACATTCAAATATTTAAGAACGAACAAATTTCAGGTAAAAATAACAAACCATATTCAAGCTCACAATTAAGCAAAGAATGCTTTATTTCTTCAGCAGACAAAATACCATTTTAGAGTTTTTATTCTCTTTTTTCATGAGATTTTATATCAAGTTCACTTCATCAAAACCTTGCTTATTGAGTTTGATTTTAAATCAACAGTATATAGTAATTATCACCACCAGCATAGTGCTTAAGAATTGATAATTCATATTTGTATCTCAGAACAGAGTAACAATGACCTAACAATCCTTCATAAGTGAACCACTACATTTGCTACGCTCTAAACTAACACCCATATATATATATATATATGCTCAGGGAGCTGTATACAGAAAACCTGCTGAAGTACAACAAAAAGAAAATGCTACATATAATCCTATTTCTTACCTCCCTTTCTCACTCCAAGACAAAAATGAGAGGGTCCCATTTGCATTTATGAATGTGGGTCCCATTGCTTTGTGTCTAGGGGTGAGAAAAGGAGGTAAGAAATGAGATCATGTATAGCATTGCTCACAACGAAATGACAAACTGATCATATAGAACTAGCAAAAAAAAAAAAACACTGAATTACTATTTTCCTTCCTTTGTGTAGCAGTGTAGGTGTGGGGTACAGGAATTGGGGTTGTTTGAGAGTGATTTCTGCATGCTTGAAATGCCACTTCCCAAAGTTTAAGCAGCTGTCTCTTACTTAGCATTGAAAAATAATAATAATGTCAAAACAAGTTGGCATGCTAAAAGCACTTATGCCAACCTGTGCATGAGCAACCCATTTTTGACCTCTTCAAGCTTCAGCTCACCAGATATTTAAATTTTAAAATGAGCAACTGCAATATAAAAGAAGATGACAAAAATATACAACAACTTGCTTGCATAGTTGTCAAATCAGGATTCGAATCGTGAATCGAAATGCTCTCGTACCAAATCACGAATTGAATCGAATCATGAATCATAAAGATTCAATCACTTTTTATACATTACTTAGAAAAATATATCTACACACTTAAATGTTAAATATATCTTATGAATATGAAATATTTAGACTTTGATCAATGAAAACGTTGTTTTGAATGATGATCACGTAGTTTAATAAGCAATAAGTTAACAAAGGTTCCTATATGAGATCACCATCTTACTTTTTCCCTTTTTTAGATATTCCTTATCGACCATTCTTAATAAATGACAATAAACACTGACAAACTCTCAATTTTCAAAGTAACAATAATTTGACAACGATATTGATATTTGGACAATAAGCATACATACTTTTTCAAGTAACAATGACCAAATAATAAAAATAATTATTTAGGATCTTTTATTTTAAAGCATAAACATTTTAAAATGTATAATTGACTTCACCCATGTAATATTAAACTATATATGATTTAATAAAGTAGCAATAGATAATTCATGGTGTAAGTTACTTTAATCTTAAACATCTTTAGAAGATATATTATGATTTTTTAAAAAGGAAAAAATGAGAAGAAAGGTTAAAACCATTTTGAGTCTAACTTAATCTAATTGAATCCTATTAAAAACTCGATGATCACTAAAATAACAACAAATCATGTATATATATTGATTATTTTGGCATTAAATGCTATTAAAAGTTGTATTATGTCATTTTTACTAAAAGAAGAAGAAAAAAAGAGTTGAAAATATGTCGGATACGACAGTTTCAAGAATTGCATGAATCGTAAAAAGTGAATCGAATTGTGAATTGATTGTGAATCGTGTGATTCACTAAAGATTCACTTCCAAAATAGATTCACCTATAGATTCGTATCAATTTTGCAAAAATTATAATCGTAAGATTCTGATAACAAAGTGTTAGAATTTACCATCACCTACCACCACTACCACCTCACCTACTCCACTAAACATAACCCACTACACCACTACCACTTCACCTACTCCACTAAACCTAACCCACTACACCACTATCACCATCCACTACACACCATCCACTACACCTACATCTATATAAGGAACCATTTGTAATAGACATAAATGTATCAATAAACAAACATCAATCAATAATACATCATTTTTTAACATGGTATCAGAGCAAGGTTAACTACCTAATCATTCTGCTTCACCGGCGGGCGGCAGTCTCGCCTTGGCCGCCCGCCGGACCTCTACACATACCTTCCATCCGCTGCCCCAAATCCCATAACTGAATCATCGGAATAGTCGCCGTCGTCCACGGCTTCACCGGCGAGTCGAGCTGGCTCATTCAGCTCACCTCCGTCCTCTTGGGGAGAGCTGCCACTTCCTTCACTATGTGCCTGGTGGGTATAATGCTGTTGCACAGATGATGAACCTGGCTCCAGCTCCTGTTTCAAGAAACATGGCTGCACCTCCTCCCATCCCAGATGGTTCTTCCCCATCTGGTGTTAAAACCCGAATGTGCAACAAATATAGTACTGCCGAAGGCTGCAAGTTTGGTGACAAATGCCATTTTGCCCATGGTGAGTGGGAACTTGGCAAGCCTGTTGCTCCATCACAGGATGATTCTCGTGCCATCGGAGCTATTCTAAGCCGTTTTCCAGGCCGGATAGAGCCACCTGCACCAGCTCCTGTCACTGGCTTTGGTGACTCAGCCACTGCCAAAATTAGTGTAGATGCTTCTCTTGCTGGAGCAATCATAGGAAAGGTTGGTGTGAACTCCAAGCAGATCTGTCGCCAAACAGGGGTGAAGCTATCTATTCGAGACCATGAATCAGATGCAAATCTTAGCAACATTGAACTTGAGGGTACATTTGATCAGACCAAGCAAGCAAGTGCCATGGCAGCTGCAGCATACCATCAGTACCTCTTGAGCGCTGCTGCCATTAAAGCTTTGGGATCTTTCCGCAGCAACCCCACCAACTAAAAAGAGAAGAACCCAAAAGAGAGAGAACCAGAGAGAGAGAGAGAGATCAGGCAACTCTTTTTTTTTTCTTTTTTTCTTTTGGGTTTCCCACCCACGAGAGCACATGTTGTTTTTTTGCGAAGAGTCCGCCAAACTTGCATCGCCATTCCTCTCTCTCCCTTTCTTTTTTTTCACACCCACAGCTCCTTTTTCTTTCATCACATGCTTCCCTTTCTTTTCTTTTTTTTATTTTTCACTTTCAAACCCACTATTCTTTTTTTAATCCACCCACTCAACTTTCTTTTATTTTTAATTTATATCTATATATCTATATCTGTTTATTATACAATATTCCACAGACTCTCTGTCTACTTTTGCCAATCCCATTTTCTTTTCTTCTTTTCTTTCTTTCTTTATTTCTTTCTTTTCATTCCTTTATTACATCTATACCCATATCCATCATCACACTATTTATTTATTTATTTCTTTTCATCACCTTTTGCACCTCCCACCCCGACTCCCTCACCACACAATCGAATTTTTATTTATTTATCTTATCTTTTTTTTTGTGTTCCCTTTTTCACACAAAAAAAAAAACAAAAAAACAAAACAACAACAACAAAACCATTACAGGTTTTTTCAAACCGTGGGCCACAAACCTTTTTTCCTTATTCTTTCTTTGCAACCACAAAAAAAAAAAAAAAAAAAAAAAAAAAAAAAAAAAAAAAAAAAAAAAAAAAAAAAAAAAAAAAAAA